GCATGCCATCCTAAACACATGCAAGACTTTCTATTCCTGAAGTGCAAAGGTTATTCAGAAAAGATGTAGGAACTCCTCTGATTCTACTGAAGGAAAATGGAACATTATTATCAAACAGAAAACCTTGCACCTCACTTTCCCCTCTTGAGCGACCAAAGGAAGAAGAAAGATTCAAACTCACCTGCTATAACCTCCAGAGAGATTGTATGTTTCTCATCATTAAACCAGCCTCTGTGCTCAATCCGACAACAATACAGACCACTGTCTGCCTCGACTGCATTCCCTATAGTCAAAGACACATTTCTCTCCCAAAGGGATCCATTTAGCATATAACGACTCTCCTTCCGATAGGTGACACTGGATCCGTGAGTCCAGATGATTACATCAGAGCACTTAGAAGAAGGGCATGCCCCTCGGCCCCAGCACGTGGACGTGAGCTCTCCCGAGTACGTGCATGGTATTGTGACTGGCTGACCCACGAATCCACTCACTTTTGGGTAAGAAGCTACAGCATCTGTAAATAAAGAGGAAAGAAACAAAAAAATGGTGGCTCAGTATCTGTTTGTTTTACTGTATCATGGATTTTTTTGTTCTTTTAAACTGTGCTTATTTTGTTGTTACTGAGAATGCGCACAGCTAAACATATACCTATTCCATAGTTTCTACATGTACAATTTAGGAATATTGATTACATTCTTCTGTAGCACAACCATCTGAACCCTCCTTTTCTGAGTTATAAGGGGGTTCCCCAAAATTAAAATCTTTTTCAAAGCTATGTATCTAAATATTTTTACAAAATAACCTTATTACCTTCAAAATACTCTCCATTATACTTAATACATTTGTCAAATCTGTGATTCTATTCCTGGAAACATTTTTCAAACTCGTCTGTTTGGATGGTTGACAGCACCTCCCTCATTTTTTTCTTCACCTCTTCTATGTCGTCAGATTGCTGTCCTTGCATGCCCCTCTTCATTCGCAGAAACAAAAAGGAGTCACATGGAGTGAGGCCATGTAAGGTGCATGGGGCAAGAGAGGCATGCTGGGGTTTTTTTATTTGTTTTTTTTGTGTGTTTTTTTTTGCCAAAAACTGGCACACTGAGATGGCTGTGTGAGCAGGTAAATTTTAGTTATGGGACCATCAGTCCCCCATCTGCAACAAATCAGGTCTTTTTCGTCTCACGCTGTTATTACACAATCTTTTCAGAACCTCTAAATAGAAAGATTGATTAACCGTCTGACCTGGAGGAAGGAACTCTAAATGGACTATATGTCAACATTTTCCTCCATTCTGGAAGTATGTGGACATCCAGAATGAGGTTTGTCATCAACCGATAGTTCACCGTCTTTGAAATGAGAAAACCACTCGCACACTTGAAATTTTCCCACAGCCCTGTTCTTGTAAACTGTGTTCAACATCACAACAGTTTCTGCAGCAATGTTCCTGAGCAGGTAATAAAATGTCACAGCTACACACTCTTCTCTTAGATTGGCCATCACCAAAAAAAAAACGAGGTTGAGCAAAATAGCTTTTATGAAAAAATTCACTGTGACCAAAGAGAACCTTCCCAGGAGACACCACTGGGAGCACTATCTCAGAGCTAGCTGCTGGATGCTCTCCTCATGAGGAAAATGAGAACTATGAAAGCTCCACTCCAGCCAGCGCAATTCTGGTTTTTTTAGGGGTACCCCTTTGTATTCCTCCTGGCTAATCTTTCCAGTTGCTGTTATCAATTGCCATGTAGATAAATCTTTAAAAGGCATAATGCTTATGCCTGACATTTTTATAAGTTAAGCTAAACTATATTTCAGTTTTAAGAAGACTTCAGAAGAAATTTTTGGTTTAAGGTTTAAAAATTATCTTCAGGTAAGTTTCAGGAGTATATCTCCCCTCCATGGCTTCAGAGAGTCTAGAGTCCAAGAGAATTTAAAACGCTGTCTGCATATCCCTCCTCTCCCACTTTTAATGAGAATTCCTCGGTAGAATCCTTTAGCAAAATATTCAGTAGTGGTAGCCAGGCACCACCCAGATCTGGTCTCATGGGAAAGGAGGCAGTATTTTGGCCACAAGATCTTTTGACATGAAACTTTTCTGTATTTAGAATTGTTTCCTAATATTATAGATCCCACAATGTCTCCTACTATTATAGATCCCACAATGTCTCCTACTGCGGACTTCTCTCCTTTTTCTGTTACTGCAGATACATATAGAAACAGTGTGTCTTGCAGGATGACTTGCAAGCTTTTTAAGCCACAGACCCTACACAGCAGACTAGGAAGCCGAGCGGAAACAGTACACACACGATTCAGCTAATTAGCTAGGACATACCACGGAATCATGACCCTGAAACTCCAAATCAAGGAACCAAATTTGGTTGTACATAAGCAAACTCACCAATTACTCAGTTCTTTTGTCATTATTGTTAATACAACTACTACCCAACTTTGGCCAATTCAATGTTTTACAAATGTACAATTTACTGACATCAATTACAATAATTTGTCTTGAGATCCTTAATTTTCCCATCATTGTTAACCCTCTTTTACTTCCCCCTCCTGCCCTTGGTAACCACTAATAATCTTCAGTCTCTATAACACTCTCACTGCCAATGAGTCAAGTCCAGTCATGGCAATTCATGGCAATTCATAGCGACCCTATGTGGGTTTCTGAGACTCTAACTCATTCCGGGAATTTCTCCCAGAGAGGCTGATGGTTTCAAACTGCTCTACAAACTTTGCAATTAGCAGCCGAATGTGTAACCTACTACGCTACATTTTCCTTTTCTTGTCTTTTTATATAAATAAGGGCATACATTATTTGTCCTTTTGTGACTGACTTATTTTCACTAAGTAAAATGTCTTCAAGCTCCACCCCGTGTGTATCATTGATCAGTACTTCTTTTCTGCCACTGACTGAGAATGATTCCATTGTATGTATGTATTGTACGCATGTGCTGCATTTGGTTTACCCACTCCTCTGCTGCTGAGCACCGATGTCCCTTTCCCCTCTAGGCTATTGTGAACAGTGCTGCGTTGAGCCTTGGTGTTCCAGTCTTCCTTCGAGATTCTGCTCTCCAGTCTTTGAGGCATGTAACGAGGAGTTGAATTTTTACATTTTTGAGAAACTATATTTATTTCCATATTTTCTTTAAGTATTGGATTTGGTTCATATCATGACTTTACAGTTTGTATTTTTTATATTAATAATTATGAATATTTTTTTCTGTTAGCATACACTTTGTCAGCATTATTTTTAATGGTTGTGCTTATGGATAAAATATCACTGGTTATGTTGTAAGACTCTTTGGTTGTTTCCATTTTACCATGATAAATAACTTCATAAAATGTTTCTACATAAAACTTGTTTTCTATATTTAGAATCGTTTCCTAAGATTATGAATTTCTGGAAGAGAATTTATTAGAATAAAGGGCAAGAAAAATTATTTTCTTCTATGAATATAGTCAAATTGCTTTCCAAAAGGTTTGAAATAAATGACAATCCAGTAATACAAAGCATTTAATGTCACCTAAGCTTCAGTACTAGAGTACTTCTGTCCCCTTAGCTTGCCAGGCCTCTTCTTCATATTGTTGATTTCTGAATAGGTATAAACATGTCTTTATTGTTGTTGTTGTTAATGGAAACAGCACCAAAGGGCATGTACATGAAATATTGTGCTCTTATTCCAGGCTCCTAAGCCTTTCCCTAGAAATCAGTTGAATCAGTTGAAATATTGTTTTTAAATATTACTTCTAATGCTTTAGAAACAACCTTTTAGTTTAAAATTTTAATTAAATTAAAAACCTGCTATTGAAAATGGGATTTAAATTAATTAATTAATTAAATGGGATCACATCCTACCTCTGTACCCTTAACTTTCAAAACACACAAGCAAATGAGGCGCTGAGGTTTATCATGGGCTGTAGAGTTGGTCAAAAACAAAAATCCAAGCATAGGGTCTCTTCTCACAAGTTGAGGAGAGTCCAGTAGCTGAACAATGCCTGATAACCAGGCAAAACAATCAGAAAACAGGAGAATATTAGTTTGAATACTAAATCATGCTACGTAAAAGCAAACAGATAAACAAAAAAACATCTCCTGGAGAAGCAGCATGAAAACCCTTTGCTACCAAATTCAGTCAAGATGACCTTGAAAAAAATCTGAGATTCACTAAGGAAATAATATTTACTACTGGGCTGAAAGCTTGGGAAAGTCACTAGGAAGAAAAGGGGTGGGGAGTGGTCATTGTTACATAAAAGATGAGTATATTTTTCAGTGGAATTCTTAAAGCACTCATTGTACTTACTGCCCAAATTTTCTCATTACAAGTTTAATCCAGACTAATCATCAAAATGAAAACATGTAACAACATTAAAACATCTCATTTAAAAAACAATTACAAAGGTCCTCCCTCCATAATCACACCATCCAGGGACGACTACTTTTTATAATTTAGGGTGTATCTATTCTTTAGGGGATTTTCCCCCTGAATACATTAAAAAACAACAACCGAAAAAACACCTCATTGAGTCCATGCAGACTCATAGAACTTTTAAAATAAAAAATATATTTTTTAAAGAAATCATTGGTTTAAAATAAAGAGCACCAAAGTGACTAAATAATATCACGAAGAGCAAAAGTTCTCCCCTGATTACCTTTTCCTCTCCCCAGGTTGTGGCATCCTCTGAGTATTTCTTATGTTTGCTGGAGAAAATACCTATTCCCACAAGGTCTACCCACCCCTTTTCTGTTTCAACACTAATGGCAGCCTGTGACACACATTCTACATCTGCCCTTGTCCACTTAGCCATGGACGTATAATTCAAAGCACATAGGCAACTTCTTTGAAACAAGATTTCAGACTGACTCTTTGCTCCCTAATTAACTCATTACCATCCAACATAACCCTTGGGAAAGCTTCCTCCATCACACCAATGCCAACACCCTTGCCTTTCACTCCCCAGCCTCAGCCCACTTCCTCACTTACCTGCTAGGAGCAGTATGAGACTTGAAATAGCTACCTGAGGATGCATCACGAGATCAGCCTGAAGAAAATAAGAACACAGACTGGTTGGTTGGGGCCCCACCAGATTTATTGAAACAAGTCTTAATTCTCAGACTTGCACTTCTCCTTTCACCTTGAGTGAGTGAATCACAAGGCTGTCAGCAGACTCTGTGAACTCCGAAAGCTGAAGTCTCGGCACCTTTCAGCAGACAAGAGTCTCAGAAACAGTCCCTTATACCCGGGGCCCTATACACTGCTTCCTGTTTCGAACAGGGAGGAGCCAAAGGCAAAGACTAACAGTATGATTCAATGCGGGGAAACCCTGGAGAAAAGACTAGTGTACTTACTCTTGGCCTCTAGAGGGAACACTGTCCCTTTGGTAGACATACGGTTTTTCCTCCCCTGTGACCACAAAGGGTAACCCTTAGCCTCAATCAGTCTTGCCACAAAGTTTGCTGTTTAGCTAGAAGAATCGAGCAAGACTATGAATCACCATGCTACAGTAAGGAATGAGTCAAACTACATACCTTACTGATGGAGGTCAAGAATGAATTAAGAAGTAGTAGAGTTTGGAGACATGGCTTCAAATCCCAGCTTTGCCTTTACTGGGTGCCTCTAGGATTCACACACACACACACACACACACACACACACACACCCCTCGAATGCTTCATTTCTTCATTTGCAAATTGGATTGAAAATACCTGCTCAGTTTCCTTCAAAGGGTTATTATAATAAGCAAAAATAGAGTGGGAGAACTTTAAGAATTACTCTTAAAATTGCATTGTGAGCGAATTTTTTGAGAGCTAAGATTTTAAAGAATATTCTGTGTAGCAGACTTTGTGCCAAGTCATTTTATCCTCACAGAAGCCCATTAGTAAAAGCTACTACTAACCTCTTTCTCACAGGAAGAAGCTGAGGCTTGGAGGCAGTAAGTGAACCTAAATTCCAACCAGGTCTTTGGACTTCTGCCTTAATCATTAAATTCAGCAAACATGAGTAAGCCTGTCTTGTACTTCATTAACTTCCCTTCCGGTCTAAAGATCCGGTATCTCCTTCCATGAACATTGATGCTCTATCCTTAGCTTTCTTGAATGGTCTTTCAGCCCATGAACAGCTTCATGGAGAAGTAGATGGCCTTAGTATGTTGTGACAGTGGGTCTGGCCATTGCCAAGGCTGAGAATCCCCAATCCAGCAGCCTCTGTTCTGGGAAGAGGCTGGCTGTAACACTAATGCTGCAAACTATAGCCCAAAGGCCATGTTTGCCCTGTGGAAATACATTTTAGATGCTGTTCATGTTTCATTTCTTAATTGAAAACATTTTTAAAGCCAGAACATCTTTAACTTTTCCTGAAACACAAGGTAAAATGACTAACAACAAAGGGCCCAAGGACCCTGTCTTAGTGATCTAGACACTTAAAAAGAAATGTCAAGAACAAAACTAGAAATGTGTGTTCTCACAGTTCAAGAGACTAGAAGCACTGGCTCTGGTAGAAGGCTTTTTCTCTGCGTTCTGGAAAACATTCCACTTCTCCTTCAGCATGTGTAGGGCTGGCCCTCAGACCTTTGATGACCTTCATCTGGCACCTATCTCTGTGCCTCCTTTGAAATCTAATCTGCTCATTTTACAACTCAGAAGTGATTAGGTTTAGGATACACCCTACACTGATATGGCCACATTAACATAATAATAACAACAACATTCCCAAATGGAATTACATCCTCAGGTATAGGGTCTAGAATTTTTCTTTTTTGGAAGGGGGCAGGGGCACAATTCAATGTATAATATGCCTTATGGTTCTTCCAGTTTCTGGAACACAAAGGCTATTTGTCACTGCTGCTGTTTTTTTTTTTTTTTACATAAACTGCCCCTTGGCCTTTTTCATCCTTCTTTTCTTCTATAATGGAAGGGTTGGGCCATGTGATCCTTATAGGCTCCTCTAGCTTCACCATGCCAAACTTTCCCTACCGCCAAGTCCATGCTGACTTACAGTGATCCCCTGTGGGTTTCCGAGACTGTTCATGGGAGAAGAGAGTCCAGTCTTTCTCCAGGAGAGCTGCTGATGATCTCAAACTGCCAACCATGCAGATCTCAGCCCAACACACAACCACTGCACCACCAAAGTTCCTTAAAGTTTCCCTCCACATTTGAATTCAACTGGATGATGTGATGAGTTCTACAGAGCAATAAATACAATTCTGGAGATCTCTTATTTTCTGTTATTCTTTACCTTTACAAGCTTAGAGAGGACAATGTCGGGTCCAGCATAGCCTTCACCACATTGAACTCACTATCATGTCAACTCCAACTCGGGGCAACCCTAGGGGACAGAGTGGAAATACTCTGGGGGGTTCTGAGACTGTCAATCTTGATAGGAATCGAGAGTCTCATTTTCCTCCTATGAAGCAGCTGATGGCTTTGAGCTTCTGGGCTCCCATTTAGCAGTCCAAAGTATAAACCACTATATCCCCAGGGCTCCCTTCACCAAGGGGGCGGGGGTCAAATTCTGCAATGGTTCACTTCTTTGTTTTGAAGGCAAAATATTTTATGACTAGTGTTATGCTCTGAGACTGGCCAAAAGTCAGGTTAGTTGGTGGTAAGGATTAAAATTTTAATTTAATTCTATAACAGTTATTACTAATACCGGAGGCTAACAGGGCATGACTCAAGATTCTAAGAATGAAAAAAATCCAAGATTGTGCAATCTGGCAATGACAAAGGTAAGTCAGCAACTAATTAATAAAATCCGGCAGAGTGAGATGAGAGGTAACTACATAATCAGACTGTCACTCCATCATGCTTAGACCCTGCCTGTGGCTGTCTCCAGAAAGAAAATAAGTATCCACACTGTTTTTCTCGGTGAATCAACTTCCAGTGGTCAGGTCCTTGCCTATAACCTAACCCCACTTTCTCTAATGCTCACATGACTCCAGCCACTGCTCTCTCTCAGACTATCTCTGCGTTAGACCTTTTTCTCTAATGGCGACTTCTGCCTGGATACTCATCCCTCGATTGTGCCATTTTCACTTCAGTATGCTTCCTCAGACATGACTCAGAACTCAAAACCCAAACCCACTGCCAATGAGTTGACTCCAACTCATGGCGACCCTCCATCGGGTTCCTGAGTCTAAGTCTTTACAGGGGCAGGCAGCCTAGTCTTTTTCCTGCTGAGTGCCCAGCGGGGTCGAACCAGAGACCTGGGCGAATAAAGAGCAAAAGCCAAGGCAAGGAAAAGGAGGATGAGGATCCAAGACATGAACCGAGGTGCTACATGCCAAATTACTGTATTATTTCATAGAATTGGATGTTTTGATATGAGTTCATATAAACTTCTCCTGGATCCCATAGGCTCAAATAGTGTGGCACCGTGGATTTTATTTATTTATCTGTCTGTTTGTTTAAATCTATACAATCTTCATGAACCACTCTTAGGGTTAACCTTGTGGCTTCATGAAGGACAGTCCAGGATAGAGGGGTAAGGGATAATGAAGTGACTCAGGTTCCTAACGGCAAAGTCTCGCTGCTTACTGGAATGCTATATTTGCATAAATCCCAACCAACTGAAAACAAAGTCAAAGTCATTGCCAGTGAGCCCATTTCCACTCTACCCTAGAGGATAGGGGGGAGGGGATAACTGCCTTTGTACGTTTCCAAGGCTGTAGCTCTTTATATGAGCAGAAAGCCTCCTCTTTCTCCTGTGGAGCAGCTGCTGGGTTCAAATGGCAAGGTCAACAGTAGCAGCCCAACATGAAAGCTACAATGAATGCATAATTGAATACAAGATCCGAAACTGAATTCATTGTTCCTTGATGTGGTCACCATTCTCCCTGCTGCCCAGTGCCCAACAGCCTACCAAGCAGCTCCAGTTCTTGCATTAACCTTCTCTTCCCTAAAGCAGTCTCTTCCTCAACACCCCCACATCTAGTGGTTCACCACATCTACCGCAGGGTACCCGTCAATCTGCACCTCATTTCCACTACCATCAATCAGGCTTCCATGATCCAACATCTGTTGTTTTTCTGTTTTTGACTGATAACAACCCCAAGAGACAGAGTTGAATTTTCCATCGGGGTTTTGTTGGTTGTCATCTTTGGGGAAACAGATTGCCAAATCTGTCTTCCAGGAATCCGCTGGGTGGGTTCAACCACCAACATTTAGGTTAGCAGCAAGCACTTAACTTCTATGCCACCAGTGATCCTTAATCGGAAACCCCGACTTCCTTCCACTGGTCTAAGGCTACTGCTGCCCACTTCCTGCTTTGCCCACTATCCATATTGTTTTTCGCTGTGAGATGCCATCGAGTTCACCCCTTCTCTGAGAGACCCCATGAACACCAGCATGAAACACTGCCCAGGCCTGTGGCACCCTCACGTTGTTTGGTTTGATCCCATTGTTGCTGCCACTGTGTCAATCGATCTCATCAATGGTCATCCTAATTCCTCATTCTCACTCATGCTCTGCATTAACAAGCATCTGTTTTTCCAATGTACTGATCGTCTTCTTTTTTAAAAAGAAAGTAATACTACCTGCAGGGGCAGTGAATTGCATTTTATGACTTTTCTAGCCAAAGCCTCTAGCTCCCAGCAAACGACCTTTTCCTGCATGGGTCTGGTAAGAAGCAGTGGGGGCTCCTCCGAGAAGCAGAGCAAGGGAGCTCATAACCAGGCAGAGCCAGGAATGGAGAGTGTACCATGTACTCTGGACCCTAGATCTCTGTGCAGTGAGCATCCTGTATTCAGAAGGCAGCTATAACATCGGAGGAAGAGCAGCAGAACCAGGAGCCAGCGCATGGAATAGAGTGAAGGACTTCCCAACACAGACCAAGCAAAGCTGAGCGCTTTTGTGCAGGGGGCTGGCTTGCACACCGGGGTGTCTCCGAGGACATAAATCAGGAAGTTGGACTTGCTGACCATGGAAGTGGAGCTGAGTGCCTTCAGGCTGGGCTTACGAGAGTGAGATGCCTTTAGTGCTTAAAAACTCAGGGAGCTGGGTTCACTAACCCATGAGATGCCATTGGGATGAGGTTCACATCAGAGTGGCATGCCCTTTTGGCATTTATTAGCAGCCCTGATAAACAACACAACCCTGAGCATTTCTCACTAACACCACAACTTGCTAACTTCCGTAAAAAATACTTTAATGATAAATCCTGTGTAGTCATTGTAATAGTTATTTGGACGTAGAACTCAGTTCTAAAAATAACATGCACTGCCATTGAGTCCATGCATTCTCACAGTGATCCTATAGGATCAGGTAGAACAGCCCCTGTGAATTGCCCAGACAGACTATAATTCTTTACAGGCGTAGAAAGCCCTGTCTTTCTCCTGTGAAGCGGCTGATGGTTCTGACACATAACCACAATGCCTCCAGGAATTTACGGAATTTTCCTTAAAGTATCCCTAAATGAAGGCATGGCTATCCCACTATAAGCTGGAGCAGTAGTATTAGGATTTTGCCATAAAGCTGAAGCCTCATTAGCACATTTTCTACCTCAAGGCACACCTATTCCACTTAGTCATTATTACCTAATTATTAGTCTGTTTATTCAACCTATTGGCCGCTTGACCGCCAGTATTACAGCTGGTCACCTCCTAATTCACTTATTGGTGGTGCTACCCATGTATTGATGTCAATCAATACACCAACTGCCTTCATTACTTTTATTATTATTATTCTCCTATTTTAGAATTTGCTGATGTACTCATCCAAGCATATGTATTCACCCTCCTAGTTAGCCTTTATTTACATGATAACTCTTTTTTTTAAAATCATTTTATTGAGGGCTCATATAACTCTTATCACAATCCATACACACATCAATTGTGTCAAGCACATTTGTACATTCGTTGCTCACATCATTCTCAAAGCATTTGCTCTCCACTTAAGCCCTTGGCATCCGCTCCTCATTTTCCCCTCCCTTCCCGCTCCCTCTTCCTTCATGAACC